CTGAGCTCTTGGGGCGGTTTAACCTGTCCGGCCTGTGCGTGCGGCCTGGGGCGGTGGGTTTCGCTGCCTGTCCCGCTTGTTGCTGCTTTTTCGGAGTTTCTGCCTCTGTCAGTGTGCTGGGGTGATTTTGGGAGCCCTCCCCAGCCCGGACCGAGGGTGCTGGAGCGTCCAAGAGAGGCAGGAGAGGGAGATTGCAGAGGAGTAGAAGATGTCTTAAAAGGATAAACTAGAAATTAAGAGATTACTGTCTAATAGCCCTAGTTTAAAACAGGTTTCAGAGATTATCCTTTAATGCTGCTTAGAAATCTTCACAACTGTTGGCTTACTGAAGCAACAGGTACCAGCAGGTAGTGACATTTTTATTGTTTAATTGATTATAGGTGCTGTTCTCCTTTAAATAAAACAACATACTTTTTTAGGTCTTGGAGGATGACATTTCTCACAGAGGTGCAAAATTTGTTAATGATTTGTATACCTGTATTGTAGGCTTAGTCACAGTCATAGGCCCTATCAAACAGCGTGAAATGCACCCCCAAAAGAGAGTTCCTTTGTCTGTGGCAGTAAATTACTTTAGCCTGGTGACCAAACTGTCTTTTTTTTAACCTGACAGGTGGTACAGATGTTCGGTAAGTGACATAATACAGGACACTGTATTTTTGCCAAAATCAGGAGTGTGTCTAGTTGTCTGATAGAGTGAACATGAGTCCAGAGCCCTCTAAGAAAAGGGTGGTAGGATGCAAGTCCCAAGTCAGATGGAATTGCCCTGGGTGGATAGCACATCTGTCCATACTTACTGTAATAAAACTTAAGTTATTAAGAAAATAAGATCTTTTAGTTATTCACAATTTGGTAGTTTCTTCCTTTGGCAGCAAGAATAGCATAATGTGGCAGATGAGGGTTGATCAGGCCTGTCACCTGCATTCTGCAGCTTAGTGGAATCCCCTCCTCTGGGGACAGGAAATGCTCTGCAAGTCGATCAAAGAGCGAGTCTGAACTGCTTTTGTGGTACACTTGATATACCCACGGTGGTAGGCTCATACCACTGTTTGAATATGTACTAGACACTTGGATGGCCAAGTAACATCAAAAATTACCATATATGGTAAATTATTTTTTTAAGAGTAGCTGCACAGGTTTTGTTTTTGCTTCAGGTTCCCTAAACACCAGCTGAAGCTGGACTAGAACGTCATTTACTGACCAACTTGTTCTGTATTCATCTCTTACTGGAGAAATTTTCTTCCATACTGAATGATTTGAGACTGGTTGCTGATGAGATCAGCATACTTGATGAAGTGAGGAGACAGCCTTGTGTTGTATAACAAGTCCCAGTCTAGACTTGCCCAGAGTAGGCAATGGCCTGTTAGTAGGAAATTCTGTTGCCCATCTCATCAGAGTTTTAAGTGCACCACTCCAGGCTTGGGCACCTTTTTGAGATGGCATTATACTTTCCAAAACAGCACTACCCTGGACAGGATAGGCAAAAAGATCTCTGGAGCCTAACAGGGATTTTTGATTGTCCCCAGCGACTTTTCACTTCTGTAGCTTTGATTAATAGTAGGCAAACATTTTGTTGTTGAACTTTGGAAATCTTTTTGTTTTGCAGCATCATTGAGAAGGGGGAAGAAAATTGTGGGCACCTAATTGAAGCTCACAAAGAGTGTATGAGAGCTCTGGGCTTCAAGATATGAGTGAGATGAACAGGAGTACGAATGTGGTAAGTATAACCTTCAGGACCTCTGCCTCTGAAGTGCCCTGGCATCTCAGCTGGTGCCACTAGAAGGCCCAGAGTACTGTTCATTATGGCAAAAGTGTCTTCTTCATGAGAGGGAAGACAAAGTAATCCTGATTGACTCTAGAGTAAGTACTGCTGTCCTTGTGAGGGTGGTGAAGCCTTCTGGCAGTATACAGCCTCTGTGACTAGCTCACAAAGCTCTTCAGCAGCAGAGTATGGTTCTGCGTCTATTGTATTCTAATGGATCCAAACTTCAACTTAGATTTCTAATTATAGGGCACTGTGGGGGTTGGTTTTTACGGGTTTGTTGCTGGAGTTTTTTTTGTTGATTGTTTAACTGTCCCTCGATATCCGGTGGAAAACCATGCTTCATGAAGCTGTCTTTCCTCTCTCTTCTAGATGATGTCTGTGGTGTGACTGTGTTCTGGAAAGCTGCAAAATAAATTATTTCTGCAAATTACTTCAAAGAATGAATATAAACAAAGAATCTATTTATAAAGAGTCTGTAATGATAGACTGTGCATCACATCTGTAGCTTTTTCACTGTTAGTGCTTGACTGCTGCTGTAGAAAACAGTTTTTCCTCTTAATAAAAGTCTGAAAATGACCAGTGTTCCTGACTTTTGTTTCTTGTTAAGTAAAGAAATGACAGTGCCCTCCTTATTGAAAATAGTGTGCTATAGGAATGGAGAGAATGAGAAAAGCCTGCTTACTCATTGAAATGAGAACAGGGGTGGTGTGGTTGAACAGGTGTGCCTTCGGTGGGTTTTCCCTCTGACACAAACTGAGAATTTGCGCTAGTAACGCTGTCCTGTTACTGCATTCAGCAAAGTCATGCTGAAGCTTGTAGTGCTGTTTGGGACGGTAGATGTAACTTTATTTGTACAAACATGACCACAGCCTTATGAAATGAGCTTTCCTTAGAGTCAAAACTGGATTTGCTTTCCCCTATTCAAGAAGAGTTGGAAGAATTCTAACAGCTGCAACCTAGGATTCAAACTCATTCGTTCTAATGAAGAATTAAGTACTTTCCATATCAAACTCAAATTCTTGAGCCAGTAGTTCTTCAAGGGAAGGGGAGCAGAGGGCTGCAGATGTATGTACAGGTCACTTGCCTGAAAGAAAAGTGGGGTTTTTTATGCCCAGTTCTTGTTGCGTTGGTCTTGTGCTAGGCATGCATGGGCCTTTGTTTTCTGGCTTTTTTTCTCACCTGTGTGACATGACAGTGGGAGGGTGGCTATGGCCTTTGATTCCTTCTTACAATCTAGGGCAAAAAAAGTGCAGTTCATAGTTTGTTACACATGTAGGACTTCTTGGCTTCATACTGTCTCTGTACTTCATTTGGTGAGTTGACTTTGCTTAAGACAGCATTGCTGATTGCTTCCTCTCCTCCTGCTGAGTTTTCTTTTAAGCAATTGAAGATATGAAATCTGTGTTTTGTCTTGATTCTTCTCTTGGCTTTGATCTTGTTGTAGGGATGGTTGCAGTCATGGTCATTTCTCTGCCTGCTGAGGCGTGCATATTCTGAGCTAGCAACAAATAGGCTGTGAACATTTAGTGTGTGACACTTGGTGCTGTCGCTGCTGAGACTCACAAGTTGTGGGAGGAGAGTTTAGACTGCTTCTGGGAATGTTTCATGAAGGTCCTCGAGTCTGAGGAAATGGACTCTAAAGTGTTTAACAGGGGACAAGCTGGGCTGTAAGACTTAGCTCGACACTGCTTGTCTGCTCTCCTGTCCTGTGAGAAGAGTTGTGCCCATGTTGGCTTCCAGCTGAAGAGAAGGGACACAGGTGTAGCTCTGTCAAAAAGCATTCAAAGCATTCTGCGGTGCTGTAGCTGGCTGGGGAGCAGGACCTGGTGCTCCTTTTGGCATTTATTGTTGTCTTGAGGAAAGAAACTTGAATAAGGTCATTTGTTGTTAAATGAATGGATGTTGGAGCTTGAACCAAAGAGAATGTTAGAAGGTGGATGAGCACCAGCTTTGTGGTAGCATGTCCAGTCTGGGTGAAACTGTGGAGGTGGTGCTATGGAGTTAAGAGCAGGGCGGGGGTTGGCAGTGGTTGAGTGAGAACATGGCAGTGGTTAAGTGGGAATGGAGTGCTATTTAAATCAGGTCAAGAAAAGAAAAAGTGGGTCCCCATACAATTTTACACAAATTCTGTAAGCTTAAGAAATGAGACATCTAGGCCTGCATGGAAGTAAAAGCATGGTAGATACTTTAGAAAGTTTTTGGAAGGAAGATGAGGAGTGGCATGCTGCAATACCTGTGTGCAACAAGTACAGAAAGGGTACAGAACAACTATACACTTAAAACAACAATGGAAGAACCTTGTAGTCAAATCACATTTCCTGTTGGTTACTAACAGATTCCCATGGAGTGCATTCAAGGCTTGATTTGGCGAGGGGGAGTTAGTGGCACTGTGTTACTACTTACTGGTGGAGCTGGTGACAGACACTTCACCATGCTGAGTGTTCTGTGTGTCTGTGAGGGCATGAAACTGTGGCAGTAGCTTTCCACTTGACTAAACTATATAGCAGTAGTTCAACTAAATACAGTAAATGCCGTCTTTGTCCCTTTGTGATTCACCATGAACTTTTCTGGAGCAGGTTTTAGACCTCTCCGAACAGTTGTAAATTGAATGTAACTTGAAACACCAATTGGACATTCTGGAGCTACAGGGTTTATTAATATGTAGGTAACAGTTTTGCAGACTAATGTGAGTGATGCACTATATAATAAATCAAAAAGGAGATGCCTGATTGTGCCCTCTCTGAGTTTAAGCCATCAAGGTCTTAGTGTCCTCAACACAGTTGATTGGACTAGCTTTCAGCTTATGGGATCAGTAGTGATCCTGTAGTCTTCCTGAGGGTGGGAAAAATAGCCAGTCACGTAGCTGCTGGGTGATCCATGAATGTCTCGGTACCGTGCTGCTCTTAAGGACAGAGGATTTATTTGCCAAACATAGTGCAGGCCACACCTGGACTGCATCATCACATGGGGCTGAATATTAAGTGCTACTGGTTGAATTAATTATATGTGGGAAAATCAGTAGAACGCTAGTTTACACACTGCCAGTTTCAGTGTTGAAAAGCTTGACATGTCTATTTTTCTTCTTTACAGACTCATTTTGTTGTAATGCCTATGTGCCTTCTTCCAGGGAAGAGTTTTAATGCTGATGTTTTCTATGCATTTGCTCTCTTGATTTGAAATTGGTTTGGGCCTTGGTATCTCCCTTTTACTATTTCTATGGCTTTCCCCTTGAATCAGTATTGGCTTTTGAAGACTCCTCTCAGATGAACCCCAGCATCCCTGGATGGAAGGCACGTATTCTAATTCAAGGCAAGGCATGAAAATAAAATTTCTCTTTGAAAATTAAGAAAGCCTTTTGAACGCTTGCTGGGAGGAAAACGGAAAGAGCTGTGAAGACAGTCTGTATGGCCATGGTACTCTCAAGGGAGAAAGGAAGATTTGAGCCTAGGTGATTCAACCATTTTGCAAATCTTCCTTTTAAAATAATTGGGCCTGAAAACACTTAATCTCTAGTGTGTGCTGAGAGATCTACCTTTTAAAAAACTGCATCATTCTCTCTACAATGTCACGTTCAGCCCCAGTAGAAAAGTAGTATAGCTTCTAATGAGAGCTTTGTCCTGTTCCTGCTGTGGGTTTGAAGCTTCCTGTCTGTCTTCTGCAGGGAGGTCACAACGGGCTGTCCTCGCCTGCGGTGCTGGCCTGGCAGCACTGCGACCCCAGGACATGCCTCTGGGGCTACAGCAACGCCACTGTCCCTGTTCTCGAAGATGCCAGAGGAAGCACCTTCTTTGTCCTAAGGAGTTGTTAACATTGTGTTCCAGAATATCTTCTAGATCAGGAATTTACCTAATAGAGGAGGGAAATTAATAACTTTTTTTTGGTCACTTTCTTTGATGTTGCCACAGAAGTTTTTTGGTCATACGGGAAGGCGGGAGAAATTGCAATGTTGCTTCTCAGAATGCTTCCTCTAATGTAGTTTGACATTGCTGTTCGTAGCAGTTCAGTTTTGTCTCACAGATCTTATGTAAAGTATCTTTCTCATAAGTGTTCCCAGTGTTGACACCCCAACTCCCCATTGTATCAAATGTCAGCCTGTCTTGGAAAGATGGCCCCTTATAATAGTGATTTTTTTTTTCAGAGGCATAAAGGTAGACAAGTCATTGTTGGGATCATCTAGTAAGTACATGGCAATGGTATGAAAAACAGAACTTGGCTCACAAGATTTTTACTGTGGTGCTTTGGCTATAAGATCATCCTTCCCTCTTTGCAGAGAAGGTCAAGAGAAATGAAGTTCTTCATTTCCCCATACATCTTGCAGCTGAGCCTTGTTCTGCTTCAGTCAGTGGCATTTATTTCTTCACTTACATAAGGGACCACTGGAGACAAGGTTCCGCGTTTCACTTCACCCTTAACAGAAAGCATCTTTCTGAGTGGATCATACTCACCCCCTGTGGAAAGCTTAATTTATCTTGTTTCCTTCCCACTTGGCAACTTGTCAAGACGGCTCAGCCTTTGCTCTTAGGAGTCCTACTGCTCCATGTTGCACATGGGTAGTCACTGTAGAGATAGATTGTACTGTCCAAGACCACGATGAATTCTTTAAGGTTGCCATAAAGTGTTGTGTTGCTTCAGCCTCGCCCAGTAGGTAGTGTTATTCCAGAGCACTGTTAGTAGAAGAGCTGATTAGTGTGTCTTTAAGTGAATGGTGCCAATAGGAATGGCATGTTAGGCAGGGCAGCTGCAAGCTCTGCCTGAAACACGACCACTCTTGAAACACTATCTCTACTCCACTGACCCATGCAGGCTGACTTCATACTGTTGACTGAGTGCCTGAAACGCAACTGCTTCCTGGTAGCAGGGCAGATCTGCCTGTATGACTGATAATGTCTTACCTGAAGCAGGGGAGAAATTGCATTTACGCATCTTTTCTGTAGCTGACCATGGAGGACTGAAATTGGCAGGTCCCTCTCATCCCAGATTACCTGAGGGGAAAGTGTTCTCTTTCTTCTTTGTGCTAAATTAAGGTCTGGGGGGTTCCAAATAGCTATAAAAAATGAAAATGTGAGATGATGTTTCCCAAGGACTTTTCCCAAGAGAGCCTGTTATCTGTGGGGTAGGACAATCCTCCCTTAACTAAGATACTCCCACAAAACACACTTCATGTATTACACGCCCAAACTTTTATGCAGGATCATCTCCTCTGCAACAGATAAAGCTGGTTCCAAATGGCTCATTTACTGTAATTTTACCGCTTGCCCTCACAACGGTCTGCCTGTGCAGTGCTTTACCTTGTGCCCGTTGGTCTAAAATGCCCCATGAGATGGAGCTGCCCAGAGCAAGGGGAGGCTGTACTGCAGCACCTGGAAAGCAATTCCCAAGAACTTCTTTCTTCTTCTGCTAAGTCTCTGCCATCGCTATGAGCTGCAGCTGGAGAAGGGGGGTGACGTTTTTCCTTTTTCGTGCTGGG